AATTGAAGAACCTCTGCGCAGCACGTAGACGAGCGGAGCGGAAACTGATGAGAACAAAAGGAAATCCGTCTACTAAAACCGAATATAGGAGGATAAACGCTGCGATCCGTCGCCATACACAAAAATTAGGACGAATTTAATGGACCGCTTTCTGTGACAGTTTATCAACCTTTATGCCCTTGACAAGGATATGGACAGTAATAAATAGTCTTTTTGGGAACATCCGCTCACGCAGGCCATTCGAAGCACTCGCTTTGAAACAAGGGAAACATTTGCAAACCCTTGCAGAGGATTTCGCAGACGTGTACACATCTGGCAGATTAGCAGGAGCAGTGATTCCTCTTTTACCAAAGTTTTTTCACACGATGGATACGCCATTCATCTTTCGAGAGCTGGATATGCCACTTAGCAAATTAGGAAGACGCTGTGCCGTGGCTCCCGATCTGATCAGCAATCAAATGCTGACAAATCTGCAATATGAGCCAAAAAGGGCCCTTTTGGACATACTTAATCATGTCTGGAGCACGGGAGAGATCCCAGTTGATTGGAAGACAGCATGGGTAGTGCCAGTCCTAAAGTCCGGAAAGTATCCTGCGAGCCTCGCATCATATCGACTGGTATCTCTTACATCATGCATATCTAAGTTGATGCAAAGATTAATACGTACAAGATTAACTTGGTACCTTGAACAAGGAAGACGATGACTATCGTGTATGACGGAATTTCGCCCACGACTGAGTGCCCAGGACAGTGTTTTGGGCCTAATGAGCCACATCGAGCACCACCACGTCAGCGGACTCTCGACACTCGCCTTCTTCATGGACGTTGCCAAGGCATATAATTGTGTGCTTCAGGCAGGCATCGTGAACGGGCTCCAAGCCATGGGTGTGTCGAAAAATGCTCCTCGGCTCATACATGAATTTCTCAGAGACCACCGCTGTGTTCGGGAGAAGCTTGGAACTGTAACGAGCGAAGAAAGACGCCTTTCCCTCGGCGTCCCACAAGGAGGTGTTCTGTCTTCCTTGCTTTTTAATGCTGCCATGGCCAGCCTTCCTGACACTCTGCACTAAGCTCTGAAAGCAGTTAAAATATCCATCTACGTTGCTGACATTTGCATTTTGATCTTAGGGTACCAGCACAAACGTTTGGCCCGGATAGCACAGAGCGCTATTTCAATCATTGAGCGCTACTTGCTGACATTTTGACTATCTATATCAGCGGAAAATCGGCCTTCATGCTCTTCCCGGGAGCGAGATGGAAGTTAATACGTCTGTCGCTGAATATTCGAGGCCACTCAATTCGTTGTGCAACAAGTGTCCGTTTCCTGGGCATTACTATCGACAACAAACTATTATGGCGACGTGCGATGATGGTATAGTCACTGCATCAGTGCAAAGGATCAACGCTCTTCGTCACATGGAAGGGGTACGTTGGGGCAAGAATCCTATGTCCATGCCTAAATTGAATATTGTGCTTATAACAAGCTGCATTCTTTATCAGCTGCCCCTGATATGACCATCACCGAGCCAGTTCAAACGCCTAGAGGCAGTGCACAGAAAGGGTCTTCGCTTGGCGATGGGAGTTCCTCAGGCGGCTTCAAACACGAAGGTCACCAATGAAGCCGAGTCTCTTCCGCTCCGCCTTTTGGCGTCTCAGGCCTTATTGACACAGCTGTCAAGACTGGGCGAGTCCTTCACAGGCACCGCGCTTCTCCAACGGCTAAGAGCAAGAACTGGCTCACATTTCAACGCGGCACTGAACACAGTTCAATATTTAGGCTTGAAACTGCCTAAACAGTGCCTTATGGACCCGCCATAGTCCTGTGTGGATGTTGCGTGTAACTTCAGCCTACCAAAGTTACCAGAGAAGCGCACCTTTCCAGCCGCGGAAGCAAAATTTGTTGCGCTAGACCACTTGAGCACCATGTACCGCGGCCACCTACAAGGGTACACCGACGGATCAGTGTTCACACAAACGGATAGCTGCGCAGCGGCTATATACCCTGCCTTGGCGTGTCATAATTGAGCCGCTTGGATCCCGTGGTACCTTCCACAACGGTAGAAAGCACTGCAATCAAGGCGGCTTTGCGCAAATTGCGATCCTTTTCTGCACGAGATGTTGTAGTGCTGACGGACTCCAAATCAGCGCTACAATAACTGCATCGTGGCCTATCTCAAGAAAAGTTCACCAGACAATTTCTGGCACCAATTAAACAACTAATTTGCAAGAGTTTTAATATAAAGTGTCAGTGGATCCCATCCCACGTTGACATTGAAGCCAATGAAAAGGCCTGTCCGTGCTTCGCATGCCCCTGCATGCGAAGCACGGACATGTGTTCCAAAAGTAAGAACTCCCAAAACTTACCAGAACAACAAAGATGTGACACGCAATCATTTCAAGGCGATATACAAGTTTCCACACCAAGCATGTGTAATTCATGGACTTTCTCGTGAACAAGCGACGCTGTTGTACCGCATAAGAACCGGCTCTGCATACACTCCGGCCTGGTCATTCAAGACTGGGAGATACGCTTCCCCGTTCTCTGCCTTCTGCGGTGACATCGAGGGTATTGAACGTTTCATTTGGCTTTGCCTACAGTTTGATGTGCAAAGCAGCAATGATCCGCAGCTTTCAAAAAGGCAGTCATAGGCCCCGGACAATTGACGACGTCATCTTTCCTGAAACTAGGAGGAACGTGCAACGAATTTCGTTGGTCTTCCTGTGAGACACTGGACTGTCTGACACGTGGTAATAATTTCCAAATTCAGGAGATGCTCAGGCGGAGCAGTAGCCGGCCATGCATGCTGCAGGCCAGGCTAACCCCGCCTGCTGCAACACCACCACCACCACCACCACGACCACCACCACCACGACCACCATCACCACCACCACCACCATGTTAGGCATTCAGGACCTCTTCGCCTTCAACGAGGCATTGTATCCGAGTTTTTGAAGCGTCTAGGTGGCGCATAATATGCGGCGGCAAGAAGGGTTGAGCCATCGATGGATCAGCCATTGAATGATGCATTCGCTGGTGCCTCTGAGAATAAAAATGAATGGCTGCCTGTCAGAAATAGACACCTTGTATCATGAATGCTCTCACCTTCATCTAACCCGTCACTGGCTGTGTCTACGCTCCCGGAGCGCAGTGTTTATAATGCCGAGCACTGTACATACAAAAGTTTCAGGAAGGTGTAGGCAACAACAGCCTTTGAAATACTTGTAAATCGAAACACACCATGCACAATGAATAGACCAGCAGTGCATGTCAAAGCCTTAAAAGCGAAATAAGAAATCTGACTAAAAATAGCAAGACAACACAAGAGAAACATAACTTACCTCTTTGTAGCAACAAAATGCCAAAATAAAAAACAACTGCCGAACCTCATTTGTGCCTTCCCGCTGACTAGTGCATAAATGGTGGAGGCGGAAGAAAGGGTGACGCCGCAGGAGGAGACAAGAACATTGTTTTCCAATGCTTTTGGTTCTAAGTTGCAAGCAGTGGTTTAACACTTCATTGAGAGGTTTCCGGCTGCACTATCTACAACGATCAAACATTGAAGTCCTTGGAGTTTCGCAGTAGCCATACAGTAGACGCAAAGCATGGGTTGGAAATATTGTGCTGCATTTAGCGACTAAGTTACTCAGCGATGACCGACAGACTCGGAGGGCACTCACTTCTTACACGGAATGGAACAATTGGTTCAAAGTGGGATAAGAAAAAAAAACATGACAACAGCCTTCTGCACAGTGCTCTCCGTTGCGGCAATCTGTCAGGCGCTTTTTCCATTTCATCTCATTTTTCATGACTAAGCGGTCATACGTGTGGCAAGAGGTGATCTGACTCTATATACTGCAGTGAGTTTGGCTATGACCTGGAATAACGCTAACGAATTGAAAACAAAAACCACCATACTGGTACCAACCATTCGGATACATTTGAAAATGCATGCGGAAAGCATTGATGGTAAATAAAGATGCAATTACTGTTTTCAGTAGGCGTTAAAATGATATAACAAGTCTTTTCAAAGCCGTATGGTTAGTCTGGTTGTAAAAAAAAGACCTTGAGCTGGTGTAAAAAAATCTTTAAAGCTTCTGTATTTAATGCTTTGGCGGTGAGTACAACGAGTGAAGATTCGGAGATGGAAAAGACATTGATGTCTGCTAAGAGACCCCGATGCGATAGCAGCACCATGCGAACAATGACGTGCCTCTACATCTGTTGGAAGGTGAGAACACTCGGTTTTAGCACGAGTTTTATTTCTGGAGTTTCGACATCCCTGCAGCGTGTATTTCTGCAAGTGTTAAAACTGGACTCTCCCTGTGCTGCGAAGCAACTAAGAAATGACTTAGCATCACTTAGCTAAAGCTCAGCAACAGCGGGGAAGCAAGCAAATTAGGCTTTAATAGCATACAGCTTCACTTCTTTACCCTTTGCGTAACTCAGTTCAAGTAATGACAACCTTTTATGACCACTTTCGTAGATTGTCCTGGCCGCTTAGTTTCAAGAATATGAATAAAAGTTGTGAGTATAGCCCAGCAGTTTGTTGTTGTTTTTTCGCTGTCATCGACGGTATCTCTTGATACATGTACCGAAAAATATTTTTCTAATAAACCATAGGATTTATTTCGATATTTGGCTTTTTTATGTGTTGTCCAAGGGTTACAAAGTTTTTGCTGTTATTAGAAAGGTGATGCTAACTTCATTTCGGACATAGTATTGTACGCAAATGTCTGGCGTTGTAAGCACAGAGAATTTTATACACTTACCATTGCAGTGCAACGCTTAGCTAAGCTATGGAACGTGCGCGACCTCTTCAGCTTAACTCAATCGCCATGCAATACGGGAGAGGACTATAGATTTAGATTCCGGCAAATTATCTAAACTACTCGTGAAGAATGTTCAAGTCCCACTCTGCATTTTATGCCTCATCAATGGAAGTGAAAGGGTGTGGTTCCGCCCTAAAAAGCGAGAAATTGCAGTTTTGTTTAGATTACATTTATTTATGCCGTAAAAGTGGCTTTTGTCGTCTTTGTAAACAAAGCTTTGCAGCCCAGATAATGGCTAGTGCAGCATTCAGTGCTGCCATGAAATGAAGAAGGCCATCGTATGATCCCAAACGATCTCGCCAGTAACCTGCAAAGAGCAAATAAATGCACTAAAAACTTTTTTTCTAAGACAGTATTATTGCGTAACTGCCATCATAAGCTCTACAAATTAGAGTCACCGGACCACACTTCAAGGGGTATGGCAGAGTAAACGGGTTCTTGCGGTGTCAGCTTGGTCTCTCATCAACTACTTTTTATTGTATGGAAAAAATTCACATGTCTCATAAAAAAGAATTCAGACTTCACTTGCGTTAGTATTATTTCTCGTAGCTTTTTATATATATATTTATCACTTGAGTAGCAAAGATTTAGCATGCGTGCCAAAAATAATGTATGCTTTTACATAAAGCAAAAGCAGTGCACATGACCATGAAATTTTGCTTGCTTATTTCTCATAATAGCGCTTTATTTACTGCCTATAATATAAGTTACCTATATTTACGATTTAAGTTATAATTGCATTTATTTGTCCCGTGTTACCAGAGGGCTTTACAAATAAATATGTATTTCTCCTAGTGAGAGGTTGCACAGTTATTAAACATTTGAAATTCTTTCTATTTTCGATATATTTAGGTAGAATCTCAGAACGTGTGCTTAGAATCAGAGGCAGACTTTTACAGAAAAAGTACATCAAGTTTGTGTTCTCTTCAGAAAATTAACTGTGAGAAAAACACACAGTTTCTTATAGAAACAATGTAAATCAAATAGCTATGCTACCAAAACATACTTAGCGGGAAAGTTTTCAACCAAAGCGTAAAAAGGACAGGAAATAAACACATTTATCCAGTCTCTCCACGTATGTTACCAAGATGAATACATGCGCAAAAAGTGACGAAAAACCCGCCAACAAACTGTCACATCTGTCAGGAGGCGCGGATTTTGGTGCTACTTTCAAATGGCTCCCCGTGCTCGTACAAGCTTGTGAATACATCGTTATGTTCATCAGAACTTCTGTTACTTTTTGGTAATGAACCCAAATAATTACTTTTTTGAACTATAGTTATGATATTCCATACCCCCTTAAATATGCGTGATCCTTAATGCGTTCATTTTAAATGCACGCATAAATAGATTTTACAAACCAGTTCAGCCTTTCATGTCTAGCCTTTCTTTTAGAGGTGGTAGGCTAGTGGTATTACACGCACTTGCATTTTCGTTACAGTAAAGACCTCAGCAGATCTGCTCCCCTATTGAAGGTCACATGTGGCTTAATTTCTCTCTGCAGATCAAATTGTTCTGCTATAACATATTCTCATAAGTGTGGCAGGGTATATTATGATTCGGGTAAGACAAATTCTTCGAGTGGCCAGAAAATGTAAAAAAAAAAGACTTCACCAATGTACGTTGTGTGCCATGGCTTAGAACCTGTAAATATCGTGAAAGCAGTCGCAGTTGTGTTTTCTCAGCCACGTAAAGTTATAAGGTTGTTTTTTTTAAAAGAATATTACTTGATAATTTGAACACATGTCTCCTTCACAATAAACTTATTGTCTCACAGGCAAACGACCCCCCTGTAAATTATCAATTTGTTTATTTTCTCTTCAAAAATGAGGCTGTATAACAGGAAAATGAAGATAGCATAAATGTTATAATCCATAAACAAAGAACAACATGCACTGCTGAGTTATCAGTTTATCACGTAGCATTGTAGGGAAAGAAGTTGTACTAAGCCATGCATTGCATACGACGAACGTGTCACCCTTATCTCAAATTTCCTCCGAAGCGCAGAAACAGAACTGTATTGGTATAGGGATAAAGTCTGAAGGCTTTGGCAAGATAGCTTTCATAGAACGTTGCTAAAAGGAGAATAAGATATACCTTCGTTGCCAAAAGTGTAACAGAACTGTTGTGATCCAAATATTTGGTAAATCAGATGCCATAAGAGTTGACAGTGATATAAAAATAACTACTTCAATAAAGTATTACAACCATTTATTTGAATTGTTTAACGGCTGCGTACAAACAGTTTGGCTAATTCATTTACACAAGATTTCGTGAACTTCAAACTTGAAATAATAAATCGGTGTGGCCTGTTTTATTGTTAAATAAGTTCACTGATCCCGTCTTTATGCAGTGCAGTGCACAGCAGCCCAAAGGGTTCAAACTGATTGCCTTACGGCTTTATCTTTTGATTTCTGTCGCTTTGTCTGAAGCCCGTCGTTAGAAATATTTTCTGGGTGTCTTGATGGAGGTCTCTACATTACTAGAAAAATGCTTTTTTTTTGGTAAAAGAACACCCTTTCAACAAGAATTCAAAGGATTAGGGGGAAGGGGGTCTTGGGCACTACTTTTGTTTCTTGGCTATGGGCCTGCTTTGTCACTTTTCAAAGAAATCAAGGACACCAGCAAAGTCTTATGTGGGATAAAATGAAAACTCAATAAATTGTACAATCCACGCCAAGTTTTACGCTCATTTTGGCAAAGATAACTAGTGAAGTTGTAGTGTGAGCAATCACCTAAACTTGCGTTGCTAGAAGCGCACAGTTTATGCGTTGTAGACAGGTAAATATTCCAATTGCTTGTCTGTTTAAGAGGCCACGTTTTAGATATCCAGTTGAATCGTGATGTAATTGTTAACATGAACTTTCAAGACGTATAACAAATGACAACCTCGAATCATCAAGCATGTCGGCAGAGCATGAAGCTCCTCACCCATACATCGTCGCAGTAATTACCAAAAATGTTATGATAATTATTACCAATCTCCAGCACCTTTCTTCTTTGTTGCCTCTGAAAGTCAACAGATGCAGCTAATCTGGCATAAATCAATCAGACAATCTGTAATAATCTGGAATACATGACAGATAAGCATAATCACTTACCAACCAAAAATGGTCCCGTAATGAGTGTGACACCAATCCAGAAGCCGACTCCACCGAGCACTAAGGGCATTCGGTCAACTCCAAAGTGTTTCGTGAGAGAAGGCATGAGCAGGGTAATTCTCAATCCGTTACTGATTCCGAATAACGCGGACAAAGCCAGCATGACCGGGAAAGAGTCCAGCAACACGAACAGCTCTAGCACGAGAGATTGAAGAAGGTATCCCACTAGCATGACGCTTTCCAGTAACAAAACACCAGAGTCGATTGCAAGGCCGCTTAGTGGTCTCATCACAATGTCCGTCACTGCAAAAGCGTTTAGTAAAAAAACGCCACTGGATGGTGCAATTCCTTTGTCCTTGGCAATATCCACTGACAACAAAAGAAACGCAGATAACCCTAGGGTAATTATCGTGAACGATACGGCGTTAACCACGAACGGCGTGCTAATAAACTCTCTCGTTATTGTATTCAAGGTTGCTTTTCTCATATATGTCTTGTCTCCTGATGTGTTGGTCGAGTTGAGCGATGGAAGGTCGTTGATGCACGAACTGCTGGTTTGTACGTGTGGTAATTCTGTGAACTCTTCTTCGTGGTCATCAGGATTGTGGCAACCTTGCTTACCGTTTTCAGGCAAAAGTAGATTATTTGGAGCCACTTCAGCGTTCATTTCAGGCTGTGTCACTGCACTTCCAGAGGACTGCCTCCTTGGTTTCGCCCACTCCGGGCTTCGGACGGCGAGCGCGGGAGGCAATGAATGGAGGATCAGACCACCCAGCAACAGGAAAGTGCCTCGGATCCCGTACGTAACTCGAAGAAACTCAGCCAGTGGAGGTAAGTACAAGCTGTTGATGCCAAGAGACGTGTAAATGATGCTGCACGCTGTAGCCCTTCGTTTTTCAAAGTGTTGGGAAACAAGGACGTTAGCGCCAACGTGGACGCCACATGCTGCAACTCCTACAACAAAAAAGAAATAAATGCAATTGCGTGAATCCTACAAGCTGTCATTATGCAAACGCTCTCACCACACGGCCAATCGTCCTTTTAAAACGCCTGAAGCAATCATGTCGTCATATTCATCAGCCTGACTACGCCCACTGCAGGGCAAAGGTCTCTCCCATGGTCCGCCAATCAACTACTAGATGCCATTAGAACTTTTTCGTTTCCGCCAATCAACCGGGTTATGAGCTTGCTGCGGCCCTGTTACACCAGATCTTAGTTCAATATATACACCGCTTTTTCTGCCCCCCCCCCTGCCATCATGCATTTGCATTTTCTTAACATGCCTGGTACACTGAACAACCAGCGGTTGTCTTGCCTAAGCGCCGAATGACTTGCCTATGAATATTTCTTCTTAGTTTCGACTAGAATGTCCTGGACGTTGGTGTGTTATCTGACTCACTCTGCTCTCTTGTTGCCCCTACAGGCTGCACCTGCTATTTTCTTCTCCATTGGCAGCTGCCTCACCCTCAATTTACGCACTGGTGTCTTTGCGCTAAGCATGAGCTGACTAATGAGAGCCTTCATATAAGTGGACTCGAAGACGCTGTCTTTACATTCGTTTTAACAGCAGAGCTGTGTACGTTATGCGGTTGTCGGTAGAGCGTAGAGCATTAATCCCCGCTGCCTAGCAACCACTTGCCACTTGGCACAGCTGCCAACGCTCTCTTCGCATGCAAAGAGAACCATAAAATTACATTGACAAGAGTGAGAAAGATGAGAAAGTGAGGAATAAATAGAAAAAGAAAGGGAGTGAGGTAGAAAGAGGAAAAAAAAGAGAGAGAATGGAAAAATAATTATTTAAATTCGAGACAACAGCAAAGGAAAAAAATTGGCAGATCTCACGTACAGCGGGAATTGATGATATGCGAAGCACGAATGAGCAATGTTACTTTCTCACTGGATTTCAAGCCAACCGGTTGTACCCCCGCGATCTCCGACGACAGCGCAGCTCTGGCAGACTGCCCCCCCCCCCCCCCCGCGCCATCTCCTGCCGCCGACATGAGCTCTCGCTGAGTGGTACCCCATCTTCGGACTCAAGTGACCGTTTCTATCTTTCGTATCTCCTCTTTACTTCCGTCACTCGCTGTCCCTGCACCTCGCTCTCTCCTTTCTCTCTCTATATGAACCTTTTGATCCCTCCTTAGCCCCATCCCTTATGAGCTACTGTTCAGGTGTCGCACTCTGATGCAGACAGTTACGGGGCTCACTTTTCTCTTCTTTGCTTTTTAAGATTCACATAAGATTGAGAAATGTTGATATGTCACTTTAAAATCAGCACAACGTTACGCGGTGGAGGTGAAGGATGCCGTACATGACTCCCATATCATGTTTATCATGCTTGCATGTGTCGTTTACCTTCGTCGTCTATTCACGTCGCGTGATACCAAATTTAGTATATGTGGAGCTAGCGAAACGGTCGCGAGCACGCTATGAGCGTGGTATGTTGTCATGTTCTTACATGAGACGCGTGTCAGGATTGTCATGTTTGCACCAGTCATATATTTCGTCATTCATTGACCTGACGTGACACCAAATTTGGTACATGTGGAGCTAGCAAAACAGCCGCGAGCGCATCATGAAAGGCCCATTATACTCCAACGGGCACAGCGACGCTACGTTAGCAAAACGTGAGCACTCTATCGTCTGACGCCAGGCGCGACCAGCGTCCGTCAGCGCGTCCCTACGGCAAAGGCGCGAAATGGAACATGCTGCATTTCTCGCCGATGGGTTGCCCATCAAACAGTCCCTCTCCCTCTTTTCGTGACGGAGGGACGCCGAATGCGCTGAAACGCGCATGCGTCAAAGGAACGCCGCTTGGTGCGCATGCGTTAAAGCAACGCAGCACGGCGCGCGCCTGCGAACATAAGGCAGGACCGGCTCCTGGCGTGGCAACGCTGGCGTGACGCGACGAAATGAACGCTGGCAAGCACGCGCACCACGTCACGTTGAAATGTATTGGCGCCTTGACTGTGGCATGTAGTCATGTTCTCACATGACACGTCTCTCATGATTATCATGTTTGCACCATTCACCAACGTTACTAGATTACCTCAGTTTGCAAACTCCGCCGGGATGCGGCGGCGAAACGCGGCCCCCTTCGTTTCCCGCTCTCTAGGTGGCGCTTCCGACGCCATTTGACCGGTCGCCGCATCGTAACGGAGCCTTCGCGCAATGTTAAATGGAATTTACGCGGTTAATTTTGCGTAATGGGAGTTATTTCCCGAGAGGGTGAGCGAAGGTTATTACGAGTGTGCAAGTAAATCACCAGTTGAGCCGCTAAGGCGATGCCACACGGCAGAGACGTGAGCGCGATGCCCGAATCTTGCGGGACCTCTGTTCATACAGCTCTTTTGCGTTCTTGTTCTTTAAAATTCGATTGCCTATGTAAAAAAAAAACATTGACAGTGGGCCACAGCATTAAGTCTAAATGCTAGAGGGCTATGAACTTCGATTCAGGCGCACGTTAGAGAAACCCCAGGTGGTTAAAATTTCCAAAGCCCTTCACTACGACGTGCCTCATAATCATATCGTGGTTTTGGCCCGTAGAATTTTCGATATTATTGTACGATGAGCCACGCACAACAGCCATCTAATGACGCCGGATATGTTAAAGTGTAAAGCCCAGAAAAATGCGCCGCACAGCATCTTCATTAGGAGCCCACTTACCACGCGGAATGGGAACTACGTCACCATGAACGTGGTGCACGTAGTCCTTCGCAATATCTTCCTCTCGGAAGTGAAGGTCACAAACAGCGCAAGAGCTTGTCAGTTCCTTATCCGATCTCGGTATAGCCCGTCGCCACAGTTGAAGGCGCACCTCGTCAGCGGGAGGCTTGAAAAAATGTCTCTTTTCGGCCGCGGATTTCGTCGAATCGTACCCACTTCGGCAACCAGTCACAAAGCAGCGAGGCATGTTTTCTCACATTCTGGAAGAAATCTACAGGGGATCAACTGCTACCATAGTGCTTCATAAAGAAAGCAACAGAATACCAATCAAGAAGGGTGTAAGGCAGGGGGACACAATTTCCCCAATGCTATTTACCGCGTGCTTACAGGAGGTTTCAGAAGCCTAGAATGGGAACAGTTAGGGATAAGAGTCAATGGAGAATACCTTAGTAACCTGCGCTTCGCCGATGACATTGCATTGCTGAGTAACTCGGGGGACGAATTGCAACTCATGATTACGGAGTTAGACAAGGAGAGCAGAAAGGTGGGTCTTAAAATTAATCTGCAGAAAACGAAAGTAATGTACAACAACCTCGGCAAGAAGCAGCGCTTCGAGATAGGTAACAGTGCACTTGAAGTTGTAAAAGACTATGTCTACTTAGGGCAGGTAATAACCGCAGAGCCGAACCACGAGATTGAAGTAACTAGAAGAATAAGAATGGGGGTGGAGCACATTCGGCAAGCACTCTCAAATTATGACAAGTAGATTGCCACTATCCCTCAAGAGGAGGTATATAACAGCTGTATCTTGCCGGTACTTAGCTACGGAGCAGAACCTGGAGACTTACAAAGAGGGTTCAGCTTAAATTGAGGACGACGCAGCGAGCAATGGAAAGAAAAATGGTAGGTGTAACCTTAAGAGACAAGAAGAGCAGAGTGGATTAGGGAACAAACGGGGGTAAGGATATCATAGCTGAAATCAGAAGAAGAAATGGACATGGCAGGGCATGTAGTGCGTAGACAGGATAACCGCTGGTCATTAAGGGTAACTGACTGGATTCCCAGAGAAGGGAAGCGGGTTAGGGGAGACAGAAGTTTAGGTGGGCAGATGAGATTAAGAAGTTTGCGGGTATAAATTGGCAGCAGCAAGCACAGGACCGGGTTAACTGGCGGAACATGGGAGAGGCCTTTGTCCTGCAGTGGACGTAGTCAGGCTGATGATTGATGATGATGATGATGAGCTAGCGAAACGGTCCGCGAGCACGCTATGAGCGTGGTATGTGTCATGTTCTTACATGATACGCGTGTGAGGCTTATTATGTTTGCACCAGACATATATTTCGTCATTCAGTGACCTGACGTCACACCAAATCGGTATATGTGGAGCTCGCAAAACAGCCGCGAGCGCATCATGAAGGGCCCATTTATACTCCAATGGGCACAGCGACGCTACGTTAGCAAAACGTGAGCACTCTATCGTCTGGAGCCAGGCGCGACCAGCGTCCGTCAGCGCGTCCCTACGGCAAAGGCGCGAAATGGGACATGCTCAATTTCTCGCCGATGGGTTGCCCAGCGAACACTCCCTGTTTCTCTTTTCGTGACAGAGGGACGCCGAACGCGCTGAAACGCGCATGCGTCATAGCAACGCCGCGTGGTGCGCATGCGTTTTTTAGCAACGCAGCACGGCGCGCACCTGTGAACATAAGGCAGGACCGGCTCCTGGCGTGGCAACGCTGGCGTGACGCGACGAAATGAACGCCGGCAAGCACGCACACCACGTCACGTTGAAGCGTATTGACACCTTGACTGTGGCATGTAGTCATGTTCTCACATGACACGTCTCTCATGATTATCATGTTTGCACCATTCACATACCTTCGTCATCCATTGCTGTCACGTAATACCAATTTGGCATACGTGAAGCTAGCGAAACGGGCCGCGAACACGTGGTCAGTGTGGCATGTAGTCATGTTGTTACATGATACTCATGTCGTGACTATCATGTTTCGATGTGTCATTTACATATGTCGTGCGTTCGCGTCACGTAATACTAAGTTTGGTACATGTGAAACAAGCTAAACAGCCGCGAGCGCATCATGAGTATAGCATCTAGTCCTGTTATTACATGACACGCATCTCATGTTTCTCATTTTTGCACCAGTATCATACCTTCGTCATCCATTCACGTTCCGTAATACCTAATTTGCTCAGGTGATGCTAGCGAAATGGCCTCCTACGCATCATGAGCGTGGTGTGTAGTCATGTTGCTACACAACACGCATCTCACAATTAATATATTAGCACCAGTCACATACCTTCGTTCTCTATTCACGTACTGTAATACCAAATTTGGTATATGTGACGCTAGCGAAACGGCCGAAAGCGTACCATGAGCATTGCATGTAGTCATGTTGTGACATGACACGCATGTGATGATTTTTATGTTAGGGTTGGTCATTTGTGTTCACCATGCAATCATGCCATGACATACCAGTTTTGCGACATCCCTTGTAAACGAAACCACCACAAAAGCTGCTGGACAATGACATGTAAATCATGACAATCATAACATACATATCATGATTTTCATGTTATGACTAATGAAACATGTTCTTCATACACTAACGTTATGCCATACCAAGTTTGGTATCAATACCATCATCGAAACGGCCAGGAGAGCTAAATGTCGTAGGCGGCTAGATAGATAGATAGATAGATAGATAGATAGATAGATAGATAGATAGATAGATAGATAGATAGATAGATAGATAGATAGATAGATAGATAGATAGATAGATAGATAGATAGATAGTAGATAGATAGATAGATAGATAGATACGCTCAAAGTCGCTGAAGTTCGCTAAGAAGTGCTTCACATTTAAAACAGAAAGAAAGAGAGCTTTGTATATCTTCGTATAATTAATGCGAAGCATTTCTTTGCGTGTTGCGAGCACTTTCAGTATCTATCTATCTATCTATCTATCTACTATCTATCTATCTATCTATCTATCTATCTATCTATCTATCTACTATCGATCTATCTATCTGTCTGTCTATCTATCTATCTATCTATCTATCTATCTATCTATCTATCTATCTAGACCATTGCCACTAGACCATTGTTGCTCCAAGTTCTTCAAAATTTTTCGACGTGAACATAGAGATGCAAAAACAACGTAAAACGAAGGAAGTATAACTGGGCTACGATTACACTTTTCATTTCGAGTATACTTCGTGCAGTTCGACATCTTTTAAACATTCTGCGGTAAGTGAAAGCTCTTCACCAATGTTCTCGCATTAAAGAAAGCAAGAATAAGTGTGATAAATGTGGCGAAGGTGACGCCAAGTTTGGTGGGGTGAACTGGGATATATGTTTCATTTGTTTCTGGGAATGGATGTCTGGGAATGACATTGCGCCCTAACGTGAAACCTTAAGCGCGATATTGTACTAGAAGTTCGCAAAGCAGCTAAATGTGTAGACATTATACTAAAGTATGTGGTTCTACAGTGCACTACAACGTTATGATTTCAAGAATCATTGTAGTGGGTAACCCCAGATTTATCCTGAGCTCCTGGGCTTCTTTGTTCTGTCATTTTGGTCCCACGTGTTCTGTCATTTTGGCCCCATAGCAATGCTGTCGACGGGCTGGGAAACAAGCCCGTGCCATTGAGCTTGGAGTGACCGAGTGTTACATTTGTCTTCTATTGCAATAAAGAGCTATAGGTATGCATGAATGAATCAAGAATATATTGAGGACTTGTTTATTTGTCCCACCCAACTTAAATTAACACCGGCTGGAAATGAAGGCAGAAAAGGCTCAGGTGACGTTAATTGTACCATTTTAAGTTTTATGTAGTAATTGCCTCCGACAGGTGAAGTGCAAGAAAAGGTAACATGCCACCGCCAGGGACTGCATTTGCCATCTTGGGACGTGAAAGTAGAAGGTTGAGCTCCTGCCCGCGACGACTTATCTTTTCGTCCGCTGTAATTTCTTGATATGTCTATGAAAATTACCACCATGCAAATGAAACAGCACAATTAGCGTCAACCATGCTTTTTGCTTTGTTACCTGCTGGTTTTAATTGTTCTTATGCATACCTATACTGAGGCGCCATCTGCACTTCCCGAAGACGTGCACGTTTTGAATTTGTCTTACTTTCGTTCTTCGATCACAGTCACGGAGTGTCTGCGCTCTCTGTCATTTTTAAATCTTTCACAGTTCCTTGAAATGGTACACAAACGCCCCGCCGCAGTGGTCTAGTGGCTAGAGTACTCGGCTGCTGACCCGCAGGTCGCGGGATCGAATCCCGGTTGCGACGGCTGCATTTCTGATGGAGGCGAAAATGTTGTAGGCCCGTGTGCTCAGATTTGGGTGCACGTTAAAGAACCCCAGGTGGTGGAAATTTCCGAAACCCTCCACGGCGGCGTCTCTCATAATCATATGGTGGTTTTGGGACGTTAAACCCCACATATCAAACAAATGGTACGCAAACAAATTTAGGCGCTTACCGTAGACAATGCCAAATAGGATGTTTAAATACACGATATTGTCCACGAAGACGCAGCTGGAGACTGTGGCACCTGCCGCAAATGTAGAAACAAGCAGCACCATTCGACAGGAAAAACGGCTGCAAAGATATCCCATTACCGGACCTAAAAAGGAAGCCGTCAACAAATTATAAAGAAATCCTTTTCATGGTTCACTGAGGCAATGAAATAGGGTACCGACAGAATCATTTTTCTTTGTTTTTCTTCTCACCTAAACACTGTGGTCGTGTAATTGGCAATTTTTATCAATTAAAACACTTCGTGCAAAAGGTACAGAAGGGCTCAGGAGTTGGAACCTTCGTCGCTGTTGAAAAAAAAGTAGATACTGCATATTGTGTGAGTAACAAGCTTTTTACATGATAAGAGAAATAGGTAAGCTTTTTTCAGCACTCGAGATACTGAAGCAGAGAAACGCCACTGCGTGGCAGTCACGTCACTATTAAAATGACCGCGTGAGCACTAAACTGCGAAAGCCTCCATCGACTACTGTAGGTTGCCATGATAACGTGCGCTAAAGAGTTCCGCAGCTGAACTTCTAACCAAACCTAACCTAAGCTAACCTAACAGAGAGTTTCCAGTAGCCGTCACAGACGGGCGCGCCACTTGATCTGAGAATGAATACCACGTATATCTCATACCATCGCTAAAATGTTAATGCAAGAAAAAGGTTCCATCCCGCGTTGCGATTACATTTGCCCCTGCATCAATTGCTGGCCAATGTCATCAATGTGCAGGTACCTTCGCGTCATATCACTTTTAGGTTGTCGTAATTTCGCCAGCATCGCTATTGTATAAGCTAGGATTGACAGCAAATTTTCGTTTCACCTAAGACCTCGTACATGTCGTTTCGGTTCAGAATATGGTGGCCGGAAGTTAACCAGCTCCCTTATGGTGCGCAAAACGGGCTTTGAGCAGAAATCATGCTCCGAAAACACTGTCTTTTGCGCAAAATATAATTGTGCATCAGCTCGCTTTCGAAAGCTTCAACAGGCGGCCCTGCAAGTATGGCGGCTGGACGATATATTACGTGCCGCGTTTTATTTCCTAAGCATTCTACTTACTAAAAGAGCCCTCAGGATTCTAACTTAGAGCCCACCCATCAATGCAGTGTCTTACACTACAAAACAGTGGTTTTGGGACGTTAAACCCCACATATCAATCAAACACTACAAAACAAAGATGTATGCAAAGTACCTGCCAAGAAAGAAAGACTCTGGCACAGCAAAAGTGGTAACGATGCATCCTTCCTGCTGACATCCGTACGTGTGAACGATTCCGTAGAAGAGCACGCCCACCGAATGCTGGCCAATGAGCACTGCGGCCAATGTGAGGCTTAGGAACACCGCGGTCACCCAACTACGCCTCGAGTCCACTCCAAAGTGAGTGTCCTTTTTCGCGCAGACCATAGAGACCGGCCATGAGCCAGCTGACTGGTAAGCACTACCAGGTGTCTGGCTGCGATGCTTGTCCTATGAGTGAGGAATACGTCTGAAAAAAATGTTAATGTTGCATTTACATAGTAGTTTGACCACCAGTAAGGTACCTCCGCATATTCATATTTATTAAAGCAGCTGCAGCACGTTATTTCCTTTGCATCATTGTCATATTGATCTGTGTATGCTTCGGAAACGAAGTGCTGCATCGTCAACGAGAAATACTCTAGCACTATCAGGAGATTATATACGGACGTATTTGGAAGGATTTGAGTGACTTCGCCGCTTTTAAGATCAGTATACTCATATCATGGTTTTAGTGTTGCTTATTTATTCCTCTCTTCATATGATCCTACAATATATGACATTACGACATGATAGCTGAAGTAAATATTTAACTGCAGAGCTTGCAGATAAGCAGCTAACCAATGCTTGTTTTATATCGAGCGTGAGTGACTTTGCACATCCATTTTTAAACCCTTTAATAATAAGCAATCAAACGTTCATGCATCATCAAAACGTGTCTCATAAAAAGAAGCATATCCTGATTGTAGTTGTATATTGTTTGGGGGCGTTGACGCCAGCCAGGGAAAGCGCTAGATGAAAATGCACTCGAGCTTGGTGCGCTTGGTGGAAAAGCGGGCAGTCGGGGCCCTCCAGTGTTTGTAACTGCGGCACTTCACCGTGCGAAGCGGTTTTGTTTCTGAATCTACCTCACTCATTTGGCCTGCCTCAAAACAGAACCAATAATTAAAATGCTAGACATGGTGACCAGTGCTGCCTTGATGCTAGGCAATCCCATCCGGCAAACATAGGCTAATGCGGCAGCTACTCACGTCGGCACCTATTGACGACCGGAAGACAGTTGACGAGAGCAGCAACACTGCCATCGACGGAAAGCCTATGTATCCGGCAATTGAGGCTTCCTAGCCAGACACCGACGACACGACAATAACGCGGATGGCGCTGGTGACACGGATAACGAAGCTACAAGACAGCAGCAGGCGATTACTAGGGCGTGGAGAACGTGAGTGGCGAGTAGATGCGGGTGAGCAGATCTTTGAAGACGAGGCCGAAGGCTGCCAGAACGGCTACGAGGCCAATTATTCATGTCGTGAGCTCGCGTAAAGCGAAGAAGAAGCGACTTATCACACGTCTTGCTGGTAACAAAGAGCCTCTGATTTACCAGGCTCCAGGACGCACGTGCCCTGGGAGTGTAACCCAATCCACGCACTGAGAGATGGGATGTCTGTTGTTTACACTACGCGGCGCGGGCATGTTACAGTAGGCGAGACGCCATGCCACAAGGCACAGAACAAGAAAAAATGAGGCGGTAAATTTTAGCATGATACTGAAAGTGCCGGGGAATCCAGGCATTGTGAAGAGATTGTCGTTGAGGAGGATGGAGACGAGAAGATAGCGCTAAAAATGAGTAGTTGACGGCAACGCCAAGGAGGCAGAAAGCGAGGCAGCTCAAAATACAGGCGTCATGGGAAAGTGACTCGAGGGAACACGTGGAGGAGAACGGAGGTGATGAATAGGAGGAGATATGAAAAAAAAAATTAACTGTGCTGAGGAAGCATGCTTGCATGCTTCCCCAGCACAGTTCAGACAAACCACAGCCGGTGAAGGCTAACCACAGTACAGCTAAGACTAACCACAGCCAGCCGGAAAGCACCACGTTCGTATCTGTCTCGACCGCCAGCAACGCAAGTCACCACTGACTAAACCAACTGGCCTCCTGCGACCCGTGCAGGTCCCGACGACTCCATTCGACCAGATTGGCATGGACATTTGGGCCCACTACCTACTTCTACTGCTGGGTACCGCTGGTTTATCAGCGCGACTGATTATCTGACCCGTTATGCCGAGACGAAGGCTATCCAGAGAGGTATAGCAGCGGAGGTGGCAAGATTTTTCATCGAAAATATTGTACTGAGGCATCGTGCACCAATCGTCATGATCACACACAGACGAACCGCCTTTACGGCAGCGCTTTTGAATCACGTCCTGATGCTCAGTGCAACAACACAGCGCAAGACCACCGCCTACCATCCACAAACGAACGGGCTGACAGAGCATCTAAACAAAACCATTGAGGACATGCTTTCGACGTACGTAGATGTCGAAAATTAAAGTTGGGATGAAGTCTTGCCTTACATATCTTTTGCGTACAACACGGCTAAGCAAGAAACGAACCGCATGACCCCGTTCAGCCTCGTTCATGGACGGGAAGTACGAACCATGTTAGATGTGATGTGGCTGTACAAAGATGACATTGACCCGGACGCTGACATGTTTACGGAACGCGCGGAAGAAGCTAGGCAACTTGCACGCTTACGAATCTGCCAGCAGCAAGAGTACGATGCAGACCACTACAATACTCACCGCAAAACAATCGTCTACTAAACTGGCGACAAAGTATAGGTTTAGACGCCCGTACAGAAACGAGGAATTTCCGAAAAGCTCCTAAGAAAATACTTTGGACCATACCAATGCTCCGACAACTGAGTGATGTCACTTACTAAGTCGTTCCCGAAAGTTCGTATAGTGCGAGGCGTCGCCAGCATCATCCTGAACTCGTTCACGTAGTGCGCATGAAGCCTTACGTCAGCGAGTGATTGTGTGAGACGTTTCATTGAAAGAAAAAAAAACATGATTACTGACTTCGCATCGGGGCGATGCTGTTTGAGAGGGAGGCAAATGACGCGTCTCTACATGTGGATGAAAACGATGATGGGGGGATTTAGTGGACACCAGGTAGGGGGCCTCTGGCTTGACTCGAGAACGAAGAAGACGATCTTGTGGAATCTGTCGGCACAAGAAATGACCACTACCTTGGAGGCAGTCGGTAAAGGTCTGGAAAGCAGATTCACTTCAGTAGTGCCAAACAACTGGCACAAGTCTACGACAAAGTCTGACTTTGAAGAAGTGACACAGACTGAAGTATCCAACGTGATTAAACATTTACCCTGTGCATCTCCTGGCCCAGATGGAATCACAGTACCCATGATTAAAATTCTGTTCAATTTATCACCTCGAGACGTCGCCAATGTTATTAACTACTCCTTAAAAAACTCATGGGTGCCGCAGGATTGGAGGATAGCAAAGGTGATTCCTATACTAAAAAATCCGGGTGGAGGATTAACAGTCGATAATATCAGACCAATCTCTCTAACATCTAACATGGTCAAACTAGTAGAGAGGGTCCTACATAGCCGAGTAAGTATCTGGATGGCAGACAATTTAGTAATAAAACCGAACCAAGTCGGCTTTCGTGGTGATTTCTCAGTTTGGTGTGCCCATGCTGATTTAGAGAGCCGAATACAGCTCGCGCGTAAAGGAAGGCAATACGCTGCCTTAGTAACGCTTGACATAGCTAAGGCGTATGACAGTGTGGAGCACTTCATATTGTTAAATACGCTAGAGAGATTGAACTTCCCACAATATTTTATTGAGTGGGTGGCAGAATTCTTAAAATCAAGAGAATTCTACTGCGTCAAGGATGGATGTTCCTCATCTAGATTTAAACAAACGCGCGGAGTTCCCCAAGGAGCAGTCTTATCTCCAATATTATTTAATGCTTTAATGAGCACAATTCCAACAGATCAAGAAGTTACTGTCTACATTTATGCTGATGACATCGCACTCTTTGCTGCTGACTGTGGTATTTACTCCTTACAACTTAAATTACAAAGATATATTAACATACTAGAAATTTGGTTGCAGTCGATTTCGTTATTGTTAAATGTCAACAAAAGTGCGCTCATGGCGTTTCCGCTTGCAGAACCAATTTCAATTTCAATTCTATATAAACAGGAACCCATCCAGCAAGTAGACTCTATAAAATATTTGGGAATCATTTATAATGACAAACTTAACTGGAGTCCACACATAGAGTATATAACTACCAAAGCACAGCTGGCTTCAGGCTTACTACGCAAGCTAAGTAACCGGAAATATGGATTACGGAGGCACACCTTGATAACGTTGTACAAGATGTACATGCGCCCCATCATGGAATTCGGCTGCATATTATTCTCGAGTGGCCCTGCTTATAAAACGAAACCTCTAGTTGTCTTGGAGCGAGAAGCACTGCGAATGTGTCTGGGACTCCCTTGATTTGTGGCTATCAACGTACTGTACCAGGAAGCGCGCCTGCCTACACTACTTTGTCGATTTCGAATTTTGACCGTACAAGCATTTTTAAAATTTTATAGCTTACTGGCAAGAAGATCTCAATATGCTTTTATCGCAAACCCAGACGCCTTCTTTCTTGCTCATCGGCCACGGTTTCACACACCTCAAATAATGTTTGTACAAAAAAATCTACAAAGTATAAATATGTTCTGAACATTAGAAATGTAATTGAGACTAATGACTCGAATTGTCATGTTATTATTGAGTATGATGATATATTCCCCCAAAACGCCAAATTACAATCCCTCAAATTGTTAAATAACATATTATTAGATTACTTGGAGCATGCAGAAACTAAAAATATAATAGCCACAGATGCTTCCGTAAATAATCAAAAGGCAGGTGTAGGCATTGCCTCTGATTTGCTTGACTGGTCCTTTTCAGTGAGACTGCCTGATTTTACTCCAGTTTTTGAAGCGGAGCTCTTGGCGATTATTTTAGCTCTTCGAAAACTTCCATCAAATCAAAACAACGCAGTAATAATGACGGATTCTCTTTCAGTTTGTGCAGCTCTGACGGCTTCAGAGAACTCTCGAACTCTAAGCACATTCAAAACATCAGTACCCCCGCAGTTGGGACTTCTGAGATTACTATGGGTTCCGGGACACTGTGGATTAAGATTAAATGAATTGGCCGATTCCTTAGCACGAGCCGCACTTGATGGGCCAGTTTTGTCCATACTGCCAGATGTTGAATATATCACGGCAACAAGATATCGAAAATCAGCAATCTTTACTGATACGATAGAAAAAGTAACTACACGGACAGACTATAACCACCTCATGTTTCCATGGCAACCCCACTGGAGTAAGTCCAGAAAGCTCGAAGTCTTAATTATTAAATTTCGATG